ATCGCAAATCGCGGCATAACTCTAAAAGATTCTCTAGGAGTTTTGTTTTATCTAATTTTGCCCGGCAGCCTTCAATATAATATTCTCTTCGTTCCTTATTTCCCGTCCTCTCTGCGCGTATAGAAATTTGTCCAGTCATCGACTCTTGATCGAGCCGCCTCTCTCTCTCTGTCTCTCTTTTCTTTTCATCATCAACTCATCATTTTTTTTTCTTTTTCTCGAAAATGAGAAGGATATTTCTCTCTATCTCTTTTTTCCTTTGGGGAGATTTTTGGCGTTAATAAAACTCCTCCCAGCTACTGATGGCCTTGATGAGCGGAAGAGAGAGGAAGGAATAGGAAGGGATACAAAAAGATCATTAACAGATTTTGAATAAGTCTTTTCTCTTGTTCTGCGTTGTGATCGCAAAAAGTGGATTTTTTGTAAATTCACTTAACTTTCGTAGCACTTTTCAATCACTTCACTTCATTTTTTAATCACTTCACTTTTCTTTGCTTCACTTCACCTTGAACTTAATTTTACATCACTTTATTTCACTTCACTTTCACTTCACTGTACCTTAACTAATATTCACTTCACTGTACCCACTTCACTTCACCTTCACTTTACTTCATTTCAATTTCACTTTACGTCACTTTTACTAAGCATTAACTAAACTCCAGTTAACTTTCGACCTACTGTCACTTCACTTAACTTAAACTCTACTTAAATTTACTTCACTTCACTTTATAGTCACTTGAGTATAACTTCACTTCACTTTACCTTCACTTCATTTTCACTTATTCTTTCTGTTTCACCCCACTTTCACTTAACATTCGTTTCACTTCACCCCATTTTTACTTCAGTATCACTACACTTCACTTCACTTTACTTTCACTTCACTTGATTTTTAATGCACTTCACTGTCACTTTTACCTTTTTTCCTTTTCCGCTCCTGCTTCTTATCGTTCATAGACGAAAGGAGCAGAAAAAGAAAAAAGAAGAAGAAGAAGAAGAAGAAGAAGAAGAAGAAGAAGAAGAAGAAGAAGAAGAAGAAGAATTTTAAACACTATTAGGTGTGAGTATGACTAAAAATGTATTTGCGTTTTGGTTAACGATCCTTTCACGCATGTCACGAGTGTTTATAAACTCGGCGGCAACTATAAATAAACGTAATGAACGTACACACGTATCTTATAAAGCATTGGGCCTCACCTATTATTAAAAGCAATTAAGAAGCCACGGTTGCTGTATATTCACTGGAGGTATATATCCATGCCAAATTCGAGTTCGCCTCGCCTATCTCTCCGTGGCGACTTCCTACCAACTAATTGCTTAACATTCACGACCTTTACACAAGCAACGGATTTTCGAATCCACTTTTCAAACGAAAGGCCAAATTTTCGGTAAATTTCGGTAAAAAACAAATTTTGAAAGCTTTGTTTTTAAAGTGGTAGGTACTGTGATTACAGTTAATAGTTTAAAAGTTATAAAGTTTGTGGTAATTTTGTTTACATTTACAATAATATTATAAATGAATATCGATAAAATTGTGTTTTATACAATTTTTTGATAACTTTTAAAAAATGTCGTTTTGGGCCTATAAGGTGACCACCATGCGTTTTTATGTAAAATCACTTATGAATTTTTTTTAAGATGTAATATTTATCAAAATATATTATGGAAAATGTAAATTTTATCGATTAGGACAATTTTATAATTAATAAAATAATTTAGTTTATAATGTATGAAATAGGATAAATAATTAATATTTTAGCAATAATAAAACTCATTGCAGAATTTCAATTATTTTTAATACAATTTTAATCGAATTTCTCGAAAAATGTAATTATTCTTAAAAATTGTATCAAAATTCGTTGAATATCTCATCAAGAATTTAATTATCCTTAAAAATAGCAACATTTTTCGCCAAAAATTCAATTATTTTTAAAAATTTATGTAAATAAAATTTTTTGCAAAATTTCAATTATTTTCAAAAGTTTTTCGTAATTCAATGATTTTCAATATTTACTATTTTCATAAAATTTATCAAAAAATTTAATTATTGAAAAAAATTTTTGATACAATAAATTCTACGAAAACGTTCAATTATTTTCAAGAATAATAAAATTTCATTTAGGAATTCAATTATTTTCACGGCAGAATTTTAAATATTTTTAATACAATTTTAAATAATTTTCTCGAGAAATGCAATTATTCTTAAAAATTTTATTAAAACTTGACGAAAGAATTGAAATTTAAGAAAGATTCAATTATTCAATAAATAATATAATTCGTTGCAATGATTCAATTATTTTCAAAATTTTTTAAGTAATTCTGCAAAAGAATTCAATTATCTTGACAAACAACAAAATTCTCCCCATAAATCAAGTATTTTGCAACTATTTTTTTTATTTTTTAGTGAATTTTTGAATGGTAGCCATGCACCTTGGGGCCACTTTTTTTCTAAAGCAAAATTTCATCTGTTTTTCCAAAGTCGTCTAAGTTTTATTTTCCTTAAAAAAAAATTTGTTTACTAAAAAGTTAGCTAAGGAGAAATTTTTTCGAGAAATTTGAATTATTCCAATTCTTCTGAAATTAGTTAAATTTTTTAATATATATTTTTAATTGATTAATAAAATTAATGGATTTATAGAAGAATTTTAATTAAAAACACTAAAAGAAATTGAATTTTGAAGCAATTAGAAATGATTGCAGAAATTCAATTATTTTCCAAATTAGTGAAATTCTTCTTAGAAATTCAATTATTTCCAATAACAATTTTAATAAAATTCATGGAAAAATTCCAATTATTTACAAAAACTTTTCTCAATTCAATGATTTTTTTTATAAATCTACTATACTTTAATAAAATTTTCCAAAAGAATTCAATTATTTAAAAAAAAATTTAAATTCTACGCAAACATTTCATTATTTTCATAAATAATAAAAACTCAACTCAGACTTTCAATTATTTTTAATACAATTTTAATGAAATTCCTCGAAAAATGAAATTATTCATAAAAATTTTATTAAAATTCATCAAAGAAATTCAATTATTTAAAAAGACATTTTAATAAAATTCGTCTCAAGAATTCAATTATTTTCAAAAGTAAAATAATTCTTCGCAGAAATTTAATTCTGTTCAACAATTTACAAAAATTCTCGTCAAAATTTCAATAATCTTTATAAATTTTTCTCTGAAATTCAAATATTTTCAAAAACTTTAATAAAATTCTTGGCAAAATTTCAATTATTTTCAAAAACTCTTATAAAAAAAAAGTTTCAAAAACTCTTTTCTCTTTGGAGAAATTCAATTATTTTCAATAAAATTTTAATCAAATTTCCGAAAAATAAACTTATTCTTAAAAATTTTATTAAAATTTGTCAAGAGAATTCAATTATTTAAAAATTTGTTGATAGAAATCTTTATAAAAATTCAATTTCAAGAAACATTAAATTATTTACTAAAATATTTATTTTTGCATTTAAATAATTGAATTCTCGTGGATTTTTCTAGTAAATATTGATTTAAAAATGAATTTCAGTTAAAATTTTAGATTATTTTTGAATATTGAAAGCAATATTGCGTTAATTTTTAGAAATAATTGAATTTTGAAAATGTTTTAAATTAAAATCTTTTAGAAAATTTGAACTTTTCATACTTTTAATTAACAATGCTGTAGAATTTATTTTTTAAAAAAGTTTAATTAAATTTTCCTTTAATTCTTTCGAAGTTTTTATTTTTTATAATATTGAAGAATGTCAGAATAATGATAATTACGTTAAAATTAATATATTGAAAATAATTGAATATTTATAAAGAATTTTATCATTTTTGAAAATAATTGAATATATTTACGAAGAATTTTATCATTTTTGAAAATAATTGAATTCTTGCGAAGAATTTGGTCTATTTTAAAAATAAATGAATTATTTTGAAGAATTTTATTCAAATTTTTTGAGAATAATTGAATTTCTGCGAATAATTTTATTATCTCTAAAAATAATTAAATTCTTGACAAGATTTTTAAGGGAATTTAGAATTAATTTTTCTCAAAAAGTTTAATGGAATTTTTTTTTTTTTAATTATTTAAACTTTTTAATTTCTAATTTATTTAATTGAAGAATGTCAGAATAATCGAAAGTTTAGGTGAAATTGAATTGTAAACAATTGGATTTAAAAATTCTCAAAGAAGAACTTTTTCAAAAATTATTTAAAAAAAATTGTTTTAAAAAAGAATTTTAGTTTAAAATTCTAGAAATGAAGAATTGAATTGAAATGAAAATAATTTTGAAGAAATTACTGTAACAATATTTTTGTAATATAAGATAATGATAGTATCAAGTTTTAATTATTATAAAACATGAAGAAAGCGATCGATATCTTCTTGTTTTATAATAATATTCTTATATGTAATTGAATTTAAAATTTTTGAAAATTTTAATTTCTGTAAAAAAATAATAATGATTAAATATTCCTTTAAAAACGAAGTTATTGATGTTTTTGAGTAATTTTACAATTAAAGAAATTCGTAAATAAATGTAATAGAACTGGAAAAAAGTCGTTTTGTCTGGGAATCATCAGGGAGTTTGGTAAAATTGGGAATAAAATTAAAAATTAAATTAAAATAAAAGTTTTGAAAAATGTAATTGTAGTTTTAAAAATCTGGAAAAATTACGTTTTTTAACCTATGGAAAACCTGGAAAAGTCAGGGAATTTGAAATGAGGAAAAAATGTATAATAGAGAAAAATACTAAAATAGTCGAGAAATATTTGCTAATAATGCAATTAAAGCGCTATTTACCTAAATAAAAATTTTAAAATAAAAAAAAAATTTTTGTTGTAATATTTGAAATTTACTTTAAATAAGTTTTTGAATTTATTAAAACAAACGCAACATTTTTTCTAATCACTATTCAGATAATAGAATATATGTATACATCACGCGATTTTTTATTACCGCACGATTAGACTTCGTGTTGTAAATAATTCTTTTTTTATATAGTTCTGCTGAAAAGACGTCAGAAAGAAATAAATATTTAGAGAAAAAAGTTGTGAAAATTTCTTGAGAAAAAGTTTAAAAAGAAATGAAAATGAGTAATTCTTGGGGCAAAATTATTTTCCACTTGAATTTAGTGTTTCTATTAGCTGCAAGTGCTACTGATGAAAGTGTAAGTATTTTTTATTCATTTTTACAAGACTCGAACCAGGTTCATAAATCCCGTAAAGATCCGTAAATTTGCTTCAAGTCCATAAAAGTACGTTTTTTTTTAAAAAAAAAGGTTCGTAAAGTTCTTAATTTGATTGAGAGAAAAGGAGAATTTTAGAGAAATTACAAATGATTGGAGAAATTCAATTATTTTCAAAAGTAATAAAATTCTTCGGAGAAATTCAATTAGGGGCCGTTCATAAACTATGTCACACTATTTTGCATAATACTTCCACCCCCCCCCCTCTACCCACGTCACAAATTTTACATGCTTTAGCGCCTTTTTTTCTACAGAACGTCACAAAAAATGAATTCCACCCCCCCTCTAAGGCGTGACGTAGTTTATGGACGGCAACTTATGTTCGAAAATTTAAAAAAAATTCTTATCAAAATTTCAATTATTTTTAGAAATAATAAAATTTTTCTCTGAAATTCAATTATTTTCAAAAATTTTAATAATATTCTTGGCAAAAATTTCTTTGCAATATTTCAATTATTTTCATCAATAATAAAACTCATTGAATTTCAATTATTTTTAATAAAATTTCAATTGAATTTCTCGAAAAATGTAATAATTATTTTTGAAAATTTTATTAAAAATCGTCGAAAAAATTCAATTATTTAAAAATTTGTTTATAAAATTCTTTACGAGCATTCAATTTTAAGAAACATTCAATTAATAAATTATTTATTTTTGTATTTAAATAATTGAATTCTATTAGAATTTTCGAATAAAAATTGCTTTCAAAATGAATTTTAGTAAAAATGTTACATAATGGCATCGCAACTTAAATTTACTGAATGCGCAAAAAATTTTGTTATCGGACTTCGTGAGCAACCATAAAATATTTTTATCTTTTAAAACTATTATAAGTTTGCAAAGAGAAAATTGTTTTTGTTACAAAATTTTAAAACTTTTCTTACTACTAATAATTTTTTTACTTAATAAATAAATAAATCAATAATACTTGAATATTATCAGCATTTTAGGATAAATTTTTAGAAATAATTGAATTTAGAAAAGGTTTAATTTTAAAAATTGGCAAAATTTTAACTATTTTAAAAAATGTTCTACAATTCGATGATTTTCAATATCTATACTATTTTCATAAAATTTTCTAAAAGAATTCAATTATTTAAAATAAATTTAATTATTTTCATAAATAATTTTTATTCAATAATTTTTAAAAATAATTAAACTCATCGCAGAATTTCAATTATTTTTAATACAATAAATTTTAATCGAATTTCTCGAAAAAAGTAATTATTTTTAAAAATTTTATTAAAAGTCGTTGACTATCTCATCAGGAATTCAATTATTTTTATAAATAGCAAAATTTTTCGCCAAAAATTCAATTATTTTCAAAAATTTAAATAAAATTCTTTGCAAAATTTCAATTATTTTCAAAAGTTTTCCGTAATTCAATGATTTTGAATATTTACTATTTTCATAAAATTTATCAAAAAATTTAATTATTGAAAAAAATTTAATACAATTCTACGAAAACATTAAATTATTTTCATAAAAATGCAATTATTCTTAAAAATTTTATTAAAACTTGACGAAAGAATTTAAATTTAAAAGAAAGATTCAATTATTCAATAAATAATATAATTCGTTGCAATGATTCAATTATTTTCATATAAATAACTTTTAATTCGTCGCAGGGAAATCAATTATTTTCAAAAATTTTTAAGAATTTCTGCAAATGAATTCAATTATCTTGATAAACAACATAGTTCTTCCCACACTCAAAAAAAAAACTAGTAGATTTGACTACTTTTTAACTACCCTGAGTGATTCAATAGGTCCTCAACTGAATTTAAAAATTTATATTTACTACCGAAAGTAGTAAAAAGAACTAAGAATTTAGTTGATGTAATTAGATTTTGTAGTTGTTTTTGCAATTTAACTACTTTTTTTAGTTATATAAACTATTATTCTTCAACTATATTCAAAGTAGTAAAATCAACTACACAAAAATTGTTAGTAAAACTAAAAAAGTAATTAATTTGACAACTTTCAACTCAACTAGGTAATAGTAGTTAAAGATTTCGACCGAATTTTTTTCAGTGCAATAAAATCAATTATTTCAAGGAATTTTAATAAAATTCTTTTTCAAAATTCAATTATTTTCATAAGTATATTAAAATTCATCAGAAAATTTTCAAAATTTTTTTAAAATTCTCGTCAAGAATTAAATTATCTTTATAAATAGACAGCGAAATTCTTCTCAAGAATTTAATTATTGTCAAAAATGGTAATAAACTTCTTGTCAAAATTTGAAATTATTTAAACAAAATTTAATAAAATTCTTCGTATGAATTCAATTATTCTCATAAATTATTATTTAAATTCTTCTCAGGAATTCAAGCATTTTTAAAATTTTTAATAAAATTCTTCAAACAGTTTTCAATTATTTTCAAAATTTGTTATAAAATTTTTTAATATAATAAATTTCAGTAAAATTTTAATTAAATTCCTTTAAAGAAATTATTGAACAAATTATTTATTTGCATTTTATTTGTATTTAAATAATTGAATTCTCGTAGAATTTTCCAATAAAAATTGATTTAAAAATTAATTTCAGTTAAAAATTTAGATAATAATTGAATATTAAAAGCAATATAGTGTGAATTTTTAAAAATAATTGAATTTTGAAATTAATTTTTTTGAAAAAGTTTAATTGCAGATTTTTTTGAAATTATTTAAAGTTTATATTTTCTAATATTTATTTAATTGAAGATTGAATTTTGAAATTAATTTTTTTGGAAAAGTTTAATTGAATTTTTTAAATATTATTTTAAGTTTTTATTTTCTAATATTTATTTAATTGAAGAATTTATGAATAATTGAAATTATTATTTCAATTACTTATTAATTTTTGAAAAAAATCTTTAAGAATTTTCAAATTCATTTGTTTACAATTCAATTTTACAAAATTTCAATTATTCGTAAATTTTTCAACTAAATATATATATATATATATATATATATATATATATATATATATATATATATATATATATATATATATATATAAGAAAATATAAACTTTAAATAATTTCAAAAAAAATCAACAGTTAAAGTTTCTCAAAAAAAAATTAATTTCACATAATGGTTAGTTAAAAATATGACAAATTCAAATTTTCTTAGATTTTAATCTGAAATCTTTTTAAAATTCAATTATTTCTAAAAACTTTTCGCTCCAATGCTTTTAAAATTCAATTCTAACCTAAAATTTTAACTGAAATTCATTTTTAAATCAATATTTGTTTATGAGAAAATTCTTCTAGAATTCAATTATTTAAATACAAAAATAAGTTTATTGAATAATTGCATGTTTCTTAAAATTGAATTCTCATAAAGAATTTTATCTATACAAATTTTTAAATAACTGAATTGTTTTGACAAATTTTAATAAAATTTTTAATAATTTTTTCGAGGAATTCGATTAAAATTGTATTAAAAATAATTGAAATTCTGCAATGAGTTTTATTATTTATGAAAATAATTGAATTCCTAAAAAGAATTTGATTATTTACGAAAATAATTGAATTCCAGTAAAAATTTAATTATTTATGAAAATAATTGAATGATTGCAAAGAAATATATAAAAAAAATTTGTAAATAATGAAATTCCTGTGAAATTTTTATTATTTTTTGTAAATAATTAAAAGTTTGGGTAGAATTTTATTAAATTTTTTTTTAAATATATAATTGAATTCTTTTGGTAAATTTTATGAAAATAGTATATAGATATTGAAAATCATTGAATTGAGGAAAATTTTTGAATGTTTATTAAAAAGAAAAGAAGTTACTGATGTTTTGGAATAATTTGACAATTAAAAAAACTCGTAAATAAATGTAATAGAAGATTTTCTTGTGATATATATCTATAGATAATCATTTTTAGAGTAAATCAAAATATTCTTTAGAGTGTCAGGAAAAAAGTAAATTAAATTTTTTTGTCAATCCTGCTAATACAATCTAAATAAATAAAAAATTATCTTAAAAATATCTATTACACTCCTAAAATGTTAATTGCAGGTAAACAAAAAGAATGATCTAAACACTATAAAAGAGAGAATAAATTCTCGCTACTATGAATTTTTTAACGAATTATATAGCAACAGATATTTAATTGGCAATTGCTCTTATGAAGATGAAGACTTGCATGGTGAAGATTTGTATAATACACAAATCGAATCAATTGAATCATATTGTAATAAAACTATTACAGCAAATAATAATAATAAATTATTAATGTGTGAAGAAAGAATAGATAATTATTTAATATATTTAAAAGCAGATCTGTATAATATGAATTCATGTAGAAATAAAAACAAAACATTTCAAGAAGATGATTACAAAAGAATGAATATGTCGAAAGAATTTTTATTAAAAATGCATGACAAAGTATGTAACGAAATTCAAACAAATTATCAACATTATTAACTATAATTAGTCTATTATTAAATCAAATATTATCATTTTTACAAATAATTTAAAAAAGTAACTAATTTTTTTTATATTTTTGCAGAATATAACCTTATTGAACCCTAAAAATTTTCATCTTTTAGAATTCTACAACACTATTTTGGATTACTTGGATAAAAATATCGAAATCCTTTCTCATTGTTCAACGACCAAAATCACTAAATTCAATTTATTGGTTAAAAACATCAAGCAATTACTTGCCAACCATGCAACTAATGACAAGGGAACAAACATTTATTACTATCAGGAAATTCAAAAAGAATACTTATCTTTTAAAAACTATTCTAAATACATTGATGAGTGTACTAATTTAAAAAAAAATGCTACAAATAATCAAAATGCTATCTACAATAATTGGAGGATTAAAAAAGAGAGCAAGCAGTTTTTTTAATCGAGGGCAATAACTATGTATAGTAAAGTAGAGTTTTCATAGTGTTTAATTAATTTTATTAAATAAACACGAGTAATTTTGTAAAACAAGATGGTTATTTATAATATTATTGTAAATGTAAACAAAATTACCACAAAGTTTAGAACTTTTAAACTATTAACACTGTAATCACAGGACTACTTTAAAAACAATGTTTTCAAAATTTTTTTTTACCGAAATTTAACGATGTCTAATGTTAGTTCCTATATAGGGTGGCCACCTTGGGGTCCTCTACCCTACAATTTTTTTTTCAAAAACTAAAAAATGATTTTATTGTCAAAATTAAAAAAAGGAAAGAATTTAAAAATTTTTTTAGTTTGTACCTTAAAATTTCAATCATGGGGCGCATCTTTTAATATGATTTTGGTACTCATAGCAGGAAAAAAAATGAAAAAGAAACAGGAGAGAGGGAGAGAGAGAGAGAGAGAGAGAGAAAGTTGAGTAATTTTTAAGTCCCGCTGAGAAATGAGGCCCTTAAGAAGTGTGCGGTCTTGATAAATTAATTTGCGCCGGAAATGCTTGACAGGGAAATGACGCCATTAGCGATGCCGAATAAAGTATAAGCAGTGAACTAATTCCTTACCTCTCTTTTGTTGTGTGCAGATCCGACAATGGTTTCTTTCTTTCTTTCTTTTTTTTTATTTTATTTATTATCATTTTTATATGTTATGTTTGAGAGAAAGGAGATGAGAAATAGATCTGAGAGAGATCCTGGAACGCAGAAAATTTTGTTGAATTACTTTAATAATTTTTTGATCTTGAGGACCACCTTCGGTAGCGGAGTAAATTCTGGTTATTTTCTTTTTTTTTAAATTGTGTGTTAAACTCAGCGAGTGGTATAACAGAAAGCTATCAAAAAAAAAGAAACTTTCAACATTATTAATGCTTCTTACTTTACTCTTTGCAGATATATATTTTTTATTATTATATTTAAAGAAAAACTATATTTTAAAAATCGAAATAAATTTCAAAACTTCGAATTTAAAACCATTTTCAAAAATTTGTAAGAATTTTAAAAAATATGAATTAATTTTAAAAAGTTAGAAATAATTTTCCAAAATTTGTTACAATTTCCAAAAATTCAAAATAATTTAAATAAATTCAAAAAAATATTCGAAATAATTTTGAAAAGTTATGAAAACAATATTTATACAAATACAGGGTGGCCATGCAACCTGGAAACTTGAAAAACCTGGAAATGTCAGGGAATTTTATAAACCTTGAAAAAACCTGGAAAAGTCAGGGAATTTTGATCGAAATCCTGGAAAATTGTTATTTTCTAAAGTTTATTCTTCAAATCTAATTTTACATAAATATTTCAAAATTAATTAAATTTTAAAAAAGTTGCGTTTACAATTTTCATAAGTACATATGAATTTCAAAAGATTTTAATTTTACATTTTGTAAAATTTTAATTTTCAATGAATTTAACTAGAAATCGTCTTGAAGAACGTAAATTTTTGAGAAATTTTAATTATTCCCATTCTTCTGAAATTAGTTAAATTTTTTAATATATATTTTTAAGTGATTATTAAAAATAATGGATTTATAGAAGAATTTTCATTAAAAACACTAAAAGAAATTGAATTTTGAAGCAATTACAAATGATTGCAGAAATTCAATTATTTTTCAAATTAGTAAAATTCTTCTTAGAAATTCAATTATTTTCAAAAATTTTAATAAAATTCATGGCGAAGTTCCAATTATTTTCAAAAACTTTCCTCAATTCAATGATTTTTAATAAATCTACTACTTTAATAAAATTTTTCAAAAGAATTCAATTATTTAAAAAAAGTTTTTAAATTCTACGCAAACATTTCATTATTTTCATAAATAATAAAAACTCATCGCAGAATTTCAATTATTTTTAATACAATTTTAATGAAATTCCTCGAAAAATGAAATTATTCTTAAAAAATTTTATTAAAATTCATCAAAGAAATTCAATTAGTTAAAAAGAAATTTTAATAAAATTCGTCTCAAGAATTCAATTATTTTCAAAAGTAATATAATTCTTCGTAGAAATTTAATTGTGTTGAACAATTTACAAAAATTCTCGTCAAAATCACAATAATCTTTATAAATTTTTCTCCGAAATTCAAATATTTTCAAAAACTTTAATAAAATTCTTGGCAAAATTTCAATTATTTTCAAAAACTCTTATAAAAAAGAAAGTTTCAAAAACTCTTTTCTCTTTGGAGAAATTCAATTATTTTTAATAAAATTTTAATCAAATTTTCGAAAAATAAACTTATTCTTAAAAATTTTAATAAAATTTGTCAAGAGAATTCAATTATTTAAAAATTTGTTGATAAAAGTCTTTATAAAAATTCAATTTTAAGAAACATTCAATTATTTTCATAAATAATAAAATTCATCTCAGGATTATTTGCAAAAATTTTATTTAAAATCTTGGCAAATTTCAGTTATTTTAAAAAATTTTAATAAAATCCTCAAAATTTCAATTATCTTTAAATAAATAATAGAATTCTTTTTTGAATTTTAAATATTTTTAAATACTTTAATAAAATTCTTGGTAGAATTTTAATTATTTTCGAAATATATATTTCTTCGCAAAAATTCAATTATGTTCAAAAATTTTTAAAAACTCTCATCAAAATTTCAATTATCTTTATATAAATAATCAAAATCTTTGAAATTCAATTATTTTTAAAAGTTTTAATAAAATTCTTGGCAAAATTTCAATTATTTTCAAAAAATTTTAATAAAATTCATGTCAAAATTTCATTTCTCAAAAATTTCAATAAAATTCTTAGTACAATTTCAGTTATTTTTAAAAATTATAATAAAATTCTTGTCAAAATTTCAATTACCTGTTAAAGTTATAAACTTTTTCATAATTCAATTACTTATAAATATTTTAATAAAATTCTTTCTAAATTTTCAATTATTTTCACAAATTTTATTTAAATTCTTGGCAAAATTTAAATTATTTTTAAAAATTATAATAATTTTAACAACTTTAATAAAATTCTTGGCAAAATTACAATTATTTTCAAAAACTTTTATGAAAAAAAAAGTTTCAAAAACTCTTTTCTCTTTCGAGAAATTCAATTATTTTTAATAAAATTTTAATCCCGAAAAATAAACTTATTCTTAAAAATTTTATTAAAATTTGTCAAGAGAATTCAATTATTTAAAAATTTTTGATAAAAGTCTTTATAAAAATTCAATTTCAAGAAAAATTCAATTATTTAATAAAATATTTATTTTTGCATTTAAATAATTGAATTCTCGTGGATTTTTCTAGTAAATATTGATTTAAAAATGAATTTCAGTTAAAATTTTAGATTATAATTGAATTTTAAAAGCATTAGAGCGTAAATTTTTAGAAATAATTGAATTTTGAAAGTGTTTCAAATTAAAATCTTTTAGAAAATTTGAACTTTCATACTTTTAATTAACAATTCTGTAGAATTTATTTTTTCAAAAAGTTTAATTCAATTTTTCTTTAATTCTTTCGAAGATTTTATTTTCTAATATATATTTAATTGATGAATGTCAGAATAATTAAAATTACGTAAAAATTAATATTGAAAATAATTGAATATATTTACGAGGAATTTTATCATTTTTCGAAAATAATTGAATTCTTGCGGAGAATTTTACCAATTTTGAAAATAATTGAATTCTTGAGAAGAATTTTGTCAATTTTAAAAATAATTGAATTATTTCGAAGAATTTTATTTAAATTTTTTAACTTGGAAAACCTGGAAAAGTCAGGGAATTTGAATTTTTTCGGGAAATAAAAAGGGGGAGAGAAGAAAAAAATAAAGAAATCGAAAGTTTCAAAATATTTTGTCTGTGAAATCCGTTGAAATGTCAAAAAGTCAAAAGTATTTTGAGGGGAGTTTTAACCAGATTAACAGTCAAGTTTTGCCAATATTCTGAAGGCGACGGAGTACCAACATTCCGCCTAATCCGACGTTAAATACAACACTGTGAGGTCCACCTAACCGTAGTTAATCCCTCATAATCCCCTTGTTATGAGTCCCCAGAAGCAACTTTGATTGCGCACCAGCGTCGCGCACAATATATTTTAAATCTCTAACCTTTTTTTTCTCTCTTTTTCTTCCTCTCCCTCCACATCCTCTTATTCTTGCAAGTTTTGACCATAAGTCACAGACAGGGAACTCGCACGTCACTCAAAAATTTATATTTTACATTTTTCAAACAACTCTTTTTTCATTTTTACCCCGAAAGATATGATTTTTGACGAATATTATTATAATTTTCTTTTCTTTAAAAATTTCGCAATAGAATTCAATTATTTAAACAAAATTCTTCGCAAGAATGAAATTATTTTTATAAAATATTGAAATTCTTTCATGAATAATAAAATTCGTTGTAGGAATTCAATTTATTAGCAGGATAATGAGTTAATGGGGTAAAATTACCTCTTAAGTATGGGGTAAACTGACACCATACCTGGGGTAAGTATAACACTAACAATTTTTTTTCTATTCTATCTAATAACTAATTTAAAAAAAATTGTAATGAGAACAAAAAAAAAACATTTCCTGACAATTGAGACTGAAAAAAGCAATTTTTTTGTGATACATTCGAATACTGAAAGGGATTAAGACAAATTAGTAACATTGGGGCGTTTGGTTATTTTTCTATTTACGGTCATTATATTGTCGAATGTATACATATATATATATACATGTATTCATAAAAATTCATTCACAATAATGAAGAAGAAAAAGAAGAGGAAGAAGAAGTGAAAAAGGGACGAGCGTAGTGTAGACATTAAAGAAACATGAGAGTGACAAATTATCCGAGAGACAAATTTGTTTCCCTGTGTTGTATAAAATTTTTGTGAAAAAGCATCTTGCTGGGTTTTTCGTTTAAAGGTCGTAAACTTGTGGCAGACCACACATAACTCGAGAGTTTTTCAATCGAAAATTGGGCGGTTCACCACACAAAACAACCAAACAATGGGGATTAGGGTGTCGATCTGGGCGTGGTGGGCGCGCGAATACAAAAATTTTTGACAAATTTACAACAGCACGATGACGGATAATGC